GCAGAAACGGAGAGAGAAATGGAAAGACTTCTTCAAGAACGAGAAGAACTAGGTAGAGAACTTGAAAAGCTTCAAAAACATAGAAATACCATAGCAGCTTCGAGAGGTGACACGGCCGATATTGATGAAGAAATTGATAATGTGAGAAGTAAAATTAGCTATTTACAGGTAACTTTCTTTTCTTATATTAGTAAGGCTAATGTTACTTTGTTCTTCAAGTTATTTTTTACAGGATAGTATTTCTGAATGTCAACATGACATGATGGAAATGGGAGATGGAGAAGCTGAAGGCGAACCTGGTGTTGAAGCCCTAATATCGACGATTCAGTCGGTAGATGAAGCTCAATATTTGTTACAAAGAATGTTAGCTTTTACTGTTGAGCAAAGTTGCGTGGCTGCTCAAAAACAGCTTGAAGTTCGCGATATGGAATCGAGATTAAATCAAGTAGCACAAGAAAGTGATGTACAACATCAGTTATTGGAGCATGTGTTGCGAGATAGAGATCTTTTATCGCTTACAAATAATCATCATAGTACAATGAATTATAGTCCACCCAGTTCTAGGAGTTCGTCACCAGATAAGTAAGTTGTATATTATTTTTTGATATTTTTTAGCAATATTTATGAGTAACATATGTATTTAATTTGAAATATTAGTGAAAATTATAGTCAAGTTATAGTCGGGGAGGAAAAGCAACGTAACAATAAAGTAAGGCGAAGAACTACACAACCTCAGGAGCTCCTTTATGGAGTTCAAGCTAATCCAGATAATTTAAAGACAGAGGAACAAAGTCAAAATCATAATCATCCACTTACAAGAGTACCTAGTGCGCCTGGTAGCTTAAAGTAACTATAATTATTCTCTAATGATTCTTAATCATATAATATGGAATATAAAATCAAAATTTTTCTTTTATAAGAGGATTGGTCTTTACTAGAAGTCATGGTAACATAACTGGTGGATCTCCAACTCTGAGTCGACGTGATAGTACATCACCAAGGCCGCTGCGACGACCACTTCATCCTGGTGGAGGCTCCATGTGAGTGATAATCCTGCAGCACGTCTTAATTTTTATATTCTTTGTATATCTTTGTCTTGACGCCTTATTTCATGCACTATTGGTTGAATTCCTTTCGTAAAAAAATCTGTATCATTCTCAACAAGTGCATTTATTGATATTTTTATCATGAGATTTTAATTTTGTTTTGAACCAACAAAGGTAAATCGGTCATACAATTTCTTTTGGTATTTGAATCAACAAAGGTAAATCGGTCATATAATTTCTTTTGGTATAAATATTATAATACAAAGATAGTATCATTAAGATATAAGAAAATATGTATTAAGGAAACCAATATACTTTATTAATTAATTAAATGATTATTTCTTTTGTTTCTATATTTTGTTTATACAAGTAAAATTTATTTCAAACTAATAATTTAAAAAATAAGTTGATTAATAGAAATTGTTATATTAAGAAGGAAGATACAATTTGTACAAAATTTTATATCTCACGCAAAATGCATTTGAAAATTGTTTAGTTTTCGGAAAATTTGGTAATAATATTTTATTTATTTGTTCTCACTGCAGGTACCTTGTAATGCTTGTTTTAATACAAAGCAACCTATTTAATGTATTATATTTATATACATTTTTATTTCTCTCTAATATAAATATGTATAAATACTACAAAAATTTCTATTTGTATAAAACACATTATTTCACAAAAAAATTACAAATTTGTATATATGTAAGCAGCTATTTTGTATACATGTCAATTAATAAATAAAAGCACAAACACTAAGGTACACTCTCCTATGAAAATACTTTTAAAAAGTCCCTTGGCGGAAATTTTATTTATATTTCTTTGTACATTCTTTATAAGAAATCATGATGTTTATTTGTTATGATTCTCTCATAAATTAATCATTAATCATTACATCTTTTATTTTTCAAATATTAATGTGCAATATTTTCTTAGATTGTAATATGTTTAATGTTATATAGATTAATATACTTATAATTCAGCAACATTCTTATTAATTATATTAAATCAATTTGTAATTATGCACTTGCATGATCCATGTTATCTAAAAAAAAATATAGCTTATCCTGGATTAAAATTGACAAGATACCCGGCTAACTAACACGCTAACATAACAAACCCTCAACTAGGGAACAGGTAGCACATACAGATGTATCATCACCTCCTGGATCTCCGACTACATACCGACGATTCAACAGTCGAGAAGAAAATGTTTTCTCCAGGCTAACAGCAAGTAGACAACCAACATCAACAGATCCGCAACCTATGAAAGGAATTATTTCTCAATATCAAGGCAAGGTAAATATAGTACAAATGTAGTGTTCTATTATTTGTACATGATATATATATTTTTCTTAGACACAGCCACGAGCAGTTTTGCAATGCACTCACGTTGCTGAAGGTCATAGCAAAGCAGTATTGACGATATGCGCAACTTCTGATTTGCTTTTCAGCGGTTCAAAAGGTATTAAATGTAAAACAAACATTTAACAACTTATGAATCTATGTGAATCTCTATATTGATCATGTATATAATTTTTAGATCGAACTGTGAAAATATGGGACTTAGGAACTGGAATCGAAAATCTCACATTAACTGGTCATCCGAATAACGTTGTAGCAGTAAAATATTCACCAATGTATAATTTATTATTTAGCGTTTCTTCAGCATATGTGAAGGTCTGGGACTTGCGGGCAGGAAATAATTGCGTAAAAACTTTATTTTCATCTGGTCAAGCTCAAAGTGGACCAATTGCATTATCAACTCCATCTAGAGTACTTCAAGTTCCTGTTGGTGAAACAACTATCAATGATTTAGTCCTCAGCATAGACGAGCAAGAATTATATACCGCATCTAGCGATAAAGTCAGAATATGGGATCTCCGTAAATTAAGTCATACTGGAAGATTAAGTACACCACATACTGCAGCAGTAATGTGCTTGGCTGTCGCAGATGATGGTAGAGTGATAACAGGTAGCAAAGATCATCTGATATCTCTTGTTGAACCAAATACATCCGGACAGTCGGTCAGTTTGGCACCTCCACACTACGACGGTGTTCAATGTTTAACGACTTATGAGTCAACATTGTTTTCTGGCAAGTATTTTTGAAATTAGTTTTCTTTAATGTCACCTTTAATACATTTAAAATATTTTTTAAATTTGCAATTTTTAGGATCGAGGGATATGTGCATTAAACGATGGGACTTGAGTAGAATGGAATTAGTCCAGTCATTGAATAATGCTCATAAAGATTGGATCTTAGGTTTATGTATGATTAATAATGGATCTATAATGATATCTGGATGCCGAGGAGGTGTGTTAAAAGCTTGGTCTGTACCAAAGGATCAAGCAGAATGTACTCCAATAGGAGAAGTTCGAGCACACAGTACTGCTATTAATGCTGTAACGACTAATCAGCAACATGTTTTTACTGCAAGCAAGTAAGTATACTTTTTTGCATTGTTACTTATAAACTGACCCGAAGCATATTGGAAATATAAACTGCAATATTGTAAAAATAAACTTTAAGGAGTTGATTAGATAAATTATTTTAAGTTAATATCTGCTCGGGTTCAGTACATATCATAACTTTCTTGGATGGAATAACGTCTCAAATGTTGATTACAGCTCTGGAGAGGTGAAGCTGTGGCGTATTCCCGATTCCTCATTATCCATGTCTATTTCCACAGTTTCTCTTTAACTTATTTTTTTATTTTGCTGCATAATATTCTTTTGCATTTATAATTTGTTGATGTGGTAATGCGCATGCTTGTCCACTTTGCTATTTTATGAAAGTATGTGGACATGTTTGTCATAATAGATGATCATAAACTTTATTGGATAAAGTTCTGACTTTTTAATTGTAAACATTTATAAAAACAAATAGTTGATTTGCTAACATTTACAATGGTTTCGAAATTATTACTTAATACAATGAAAGGATAAATCGTAAAATAATAATAATAATAATAACAACTTTAATTTCCTGCTTCAAACGCTTTGATATGTAATTATGTACTATTATGTCATATTATGTACATTCGGATGTAATGGAAATCGGAAATGCACTTTAAATTTCTGTAAAATTATTTATTAACATCACACATTAGATTAGTTATTGAACATAAAAGAATTAATTTAATTTTTTTTTTAATTTAATATTTCTTTTTCTGATCAATTATCATTCGTTTCTATCAAAGTTGCGTGTATCAAGTATTGCTTTTTGAAAGTATTTGTGCAAATTTTTAGTAAAAATTTATCACTAATAATGTGGTTGCAGTTATGAATGTATTCTGTGTAAAACATTTGTTTGATTGAATGAACTTGTAGTAGAAAATAATACTTCTGTCATAATCTTTAACTTGTACAAGTTAACGAATATGAAAGTTTAATTTAATTTTTTGTATTATTTTGCTTCTATGTTGTTTACACTCCAATTTGGTGCTTTGCATGGTCACCATATCAACGAAGTGACGGAACGGTGAGACTGTGGAGCTACTATAAGAGAGATGCAAGAACTTTCCAAAGAAGCAACTCACTGAAAAGCTAAAATACATGCACTCATTGGAAATCTTGTATTTATTTTGTAACTATACTGTTTTTTATTTATTTGTTAGTTTATATTAATTTATAACACAATGTGAAGATTTGTAATGATAATGCACCTGACTATTGCCTGCTAATTTTGATATTTTGTTTGGAATTATACATGAATGTATTGTTTGACTTTAAATATTTTATAACTTAACTTTCGCGTATACTGCCTTAATGAATATGAGCATTTAACATAGAATTTATAAATGTAATTTTTAAATAACAAAAAAGCATTTCTATAGTATATAGAAATATGAAGTCCAAAACAGAAGTAAACAAGAATTGATTCAGCAAAAATTAAGTGCATTATCGGGAATAAAGTATAGAATTTAAACAAATTTACTTAATAAGAACAAGTTTGGTATTACTAGCATTTATTTTATTATGAACATAAAGGTGGTAATAATCATAATATATACTCTTAGTATGAACAATAATTGTTGATTAATACTGTACAGTCTGAGGTCTCTGTAGGTCCCATATGCTTGATATTGTCAGGGTTGGCTATTATTTACTTTTCTTCTAAAAATTTAAAAACAGTATTATGTCTAATTATAATTACAAAAAAATAAATAGACTAATAACAATATTAAACATGGATTTCTTTCAATTTAAAAAATATATATAATATAGTAATAAATATATACCTCTTCTTCTTTTTATGTGTTGTCAATGATTCTTGACCGCTATCGTCGGTACTGTCTTCTGATTGACTACTACTACTACTACTACTACTACTTGAAGAACTACTTGAAGAACCACTGGAAGAATCACTGGCAACACCTGTATCTTCTTTTACATCTATAGTTTCAGCTAATGCTGCTAATTCTGGTTCTTTATCCCTGAGTACTTTTAACCATTTACATGATAATTTTGGTCTTCCCCGTACCTGCAATAAAATTAGTAGAACATATAAACTTATACATGTAAATTAAATGTATAATTTTGTTTTTTTTTTAATAATTTTGTTTTATTTTTTTTATGTGCTTACTGTTTTATGCCACACTACGGGAAAATTTGTACGGGAACAAAAATTTTGAGTGACTGCTATAGTTTCATCAAGATTTAAAACAACATGCCACCAACCACCAGGAACAAAAACAGTTTCACCAGGATTTTGTAAAATCTCTATTGGTAAACAATCTTGTGGCCAAGTAGGCAATTTTGTACGTGGATAAATAACAGAAAACCATGTAATAGCTTCGTCTCGTTGTTTACCGCCTTCAGCTGCAGATACTTTAAGAAGTTCTCGCGGTGTATGTGTAGGAAATAAACACCATCGTTTATGTCCAGAAATCAGTGCATTCCAGGCACTCGTTCCTAATGGATCTATATGTATGCCTGTACCTGTATTCACATTACTTATTCATAATGTAGTCTAAAATAATTGTTTAGATAAAGCAGTTATTTATATAGGTATTTTTAAAAACATGTAACATCATTACCATAATTTTTTATCTGATCTTATGTAGATAATCAACATACCAGACCTTGCAGGTCCCATAACGAACCAACGATATGGTGGTCTTCTATGTTCTCCCGCATATTGAAACAAGTCATCACGGAAATATTTAGGAATAACATAATCTTCTAGTAATTTTTTTCGTCTAAGATGTTCACCAAAGGAACTATCAAAGATGTACAAAGGTGAATCATCTTCATTATTAAGCATATAGCGTACATAATATTTCATCTTCATTTTTACACTATATCCTTCATTGTCTTCGCCACATTTAAACTTTTGATTTCTGTATTTTTTCATTAACCTCTGTATTTTAGTAAAAAATTATTAGCTATAAATATCGATATAATATTTTGTTTGTCATATTTAACATGTACCTCTATAGTCCACTTAGACTGGGCTTTCCAATCATTTTGAACACCTTGTATTATCACAGGTTTGTAAGGTTTTTCATATTTTTCTATAAATTCCTCTGTAGATACTTTAGACTCATCAATACGATCCACATTATCCATAAAATTCCAAAATGATTCAAACTTTTTACTGTAGCCATGTTGGATCCAGGCAGCCTTATCACCAAGTTCTAGAAGAAACATTTAATTATTGTAAAGAAAAGAATAAGAGCAATGTTTAAAACAATAGGACGTCTTAATAATATAAAAATAATAAAATATATTATGTAAACAATGAAGATTTATTGTATTTGTATGTATTACTGATACTATGCAATGAAGGATATTTAATGCATATACAATAATTGAAACAGTAAACTATTTATGAATAAGTGCATTATATTACATTGTTATCGTAATACTTTCAGTAAATTTGAAGTTACATCATCCAAGGTCGGCAAAGATAGTTCGGTCTTGTATCACATATCCAAATTCTGTTTATAACGACGAGCGTCACAAGAAGACAAACGGTGACTCAATTACTTCTAGTCATACTAGTAATATAAAATAATTCGTGAAGGATAATTGTTTGTTAAAAGTAATTTACGTCCATATCACGTCAACGTATAGGTTATAAAATTAGGTTATGATATGTTTACCTGGTCTTGCTTTCCTTTTAACCTCTTTGATCCTTTTTTTTGCGCGGTGATCTAATTTCGGTTCATCCGTCATGGCTACACGTTTATTGTGTTACCTAATTAACCTAGTTTCAATATATTTACAATTTACTATCAAGAAATATATGCAGCACGTCATTCAGTGGTAACCGTTCTTTTTAGTTCGCATGAACCCCGTAAGATGTATCAAAACATCGGCAAATATTTTCACAGGTATATGAAACATTAAGTGCTATTTACTTATTGATATGTTATAAAATATATGGTATGTTTATTTCGATATCATGTTACATAATTTTATCCTCTGCCCTGCGCAGCTTTGATTTTGCTACATAATACAATGACCTTAAGTAGCGAAACTAAAGTTCTGTACATTATCTACAGAGGCGCTGGTTCTTGTGTACGAGACTGCCTACGTGACAAATACCATGTTCTACCAATAGGTCATACCATACCGTAAATGTAATTGCGCTTCTAGAAATATCGATATCTTTCACTCTTCAATATGCATGATCGTGTACATAGATAGACCTCGTATTTAAAAAATGAAACAACTTTATATATACTAAAAAGAGGAAACAAAAGTTTGTAAACATTATATATTACATGCTCTTGACATTTTAAATTTTATTCGGTAAATAGAATTTTTCTAATCATAAATACGTCGATCGTTGTATCATACTGTATTATGTTGTGCAAAAAACGTGTAACAATTTTCTTTAATGGTTCGATCGATTTCATTAATAGATAACATTAAGACTGAAATTCATGTCTATTGTATTTATTCTGTTTGCAAAGGTAAAATATACATGAAATGACATTGGAAGAGAATGTGGGATAATAACAACACAACAAGAAAGTTGTATCCGCGGTCGAAAGTTCAACGGTTCCCGAGACGCATGCGCAATGGAACAAGTTGGCGCGGAACACCCGGATGTGCTGCCACACGAGCACGATACGGTAGAAGGAAGAGGCATGACGCCATGTTTTGATGTCGTCATCCCCCCCCAAACCGCTGTTTCTTGAGCTGAGCACAATAGTCTGACAGTGTTTTTTCTGTTGTGCGCCTCGTGTTCTGTGTTCCTTGGTGGCCGTTTTGGCGTGCTCCATTCGCCCTCCCCATCGTCGCGTCAAATGCTGGATGCTTGCCCTCGAGGCTAACGATTGTTCCTGTGGGTTGACGGTCCCTGAAGGTGGCCCTTCGTGTCTTTTCATGTTCGGGGAAGTAACCGCGGAGCGGGGGGATCCGCGAGCGTCGTCTACGTAGTGGTAGTGTCCTAGTGCGGGGAGGACGAGCGATCACGATCCTCCACCGAACGGTTAATCCAAGTGGTTACGTCACACGATCCTGAGCTGGGCTTTCGAAAGAAACGACTTACTAAAGAAGTGGACGGCGACGACGACGGGGACGAGGACGACGGCCCTGCTAAAATGGAGCTGCGCCTGCACTCGCCAGCCGGAGCAGAACCGATCGTCTATCAATGGCCCCTCACCTCCGGATCCGGATCTGTGAGTATTTTGTCTAACTGTACACTTGAAATTATTCTATCTCTCTGGAAAATACGTAATATTGGTTTGAGATATGTGGAGTGCTGCTATGTGATCTGTCGCTTAACACTCGTTCTCACAGCTGATCGTACGTGTATTCGCACGACGCGAATCTTTCCTACCGTTATTTTGTCACGCTGTCACATTTATTTTATTCTAAAGAATCAGGAAACATTCTTAATTCTCCGTATCGTATGATTATTAATAATTCGTTTGTTGTATACACTACCTTTAATTGATCGTATATCCTGTGTATACATAGAGGAAAAACAATGTATTTTTGAAAATGGTGTTCTGTAAATTTACTTTGTATAAATTATTTATTCATAATTGTTCTTTCTATCTATGTTTATTATTTATTTTATCTTCTATCTATATTTATTTATCTTGTACCATTTATATATTCTTTCTATAGTTATTATTTATCTTATATCTTTCATAATTTTAGTGTTATCATGACTAAGAAATATTTCTATTGTTTGTTCAAATATCTGTTTGTATCGGAGCCATAAATCAAAGAATACTGATCTATGGCTGCAAGAAATATCAAGAAATAGGAAGTCCCTTTTATGGCTATAAATCTTTATTACAATATAACTTATATTCTGTTCGCAGTGTACAGAGTTTTGCAAAATATATTTAAGGTATAATGAGGTTTTATCGTTGATTAAAAAATATTGATAATTAAACAATTTTTAAGTTACTAAATAATTTTAAAATGGAGGAAAAAAAATAATTTTATATAATGTTTAAAAAAATTTATATGTTTGAATGAAATGAATTTTATTAATTAATTATAGGATCACGATGGTGCACTTGATGTTGTTGAAACAATGGATTTTATTAATTAATTATAGGATCGTCACGATGGTGCACTTGATGTTGTTGAAACAATGAGATGGGTTTGCGAAGATTTGCCAGATTTGAAACTACCGTTAGAAAATAACATTTTATGTGACTATGACACAAGAGATTATGAAAGTATGAAAAATTTGTGTGACAAATTTAATAGAGCAATTGATAGTTTAGTGCAACTGGTAAGTAAAATAATTAGTTATATTTACATTCATAAATGTTTGCAATAATGTAGCATAATTTGAAGGAGAAAGGTACCAGTTTACCATCTCAGAGATTGAATAAACGACCCAGTCGAGGTTTACTAAAACACATACTCCAGCAAACATATAATCAAGCAGTAGTGGAACCAGACAAATTAAATCAATATGAGCCGTTTTCACCAGAGGTATATGGAGAAACAAGTTATGAACTTGTATGCCAAATGATTGATCAGATTGATGTAACAGAAGATGATGTTTTTGTTGATTTGGGATCTGGAGTTGGTCAAGTGGTTCTTCAAATGGCTGCAGCAACTTTATGCAAAATTTGCATTGGTGTTGAAAGAGCTGACGTACCATCAAGATATGCACAGGTATGTCATTTTTTAAACAGATTTTGGAGACAGTATTGCTGAACTAATATCATTATTATTTGTACAAGTTTCTTATTTCTGTCAAATATTAGAGTATGGAAGTAAACTTTCGTAAATGGTTGAATTGGTATGGAAAAAGATGCGGCGAATATCGTTTGGTAAAAGGCGATTTTTTAGCTGATGAACATCGTGAAAGTATTACCGGAGCTACGATAGTGTTTGTTAATAATTTTGCATTTGGTCCAACGGTGGATCATCAACTAAAAGAACGATTTGCTGACTTACGAGATGGAGCTCGGATTGTATCGTCAAAGTCATTTTGTCCTCTCAATTTTCGCATAACAGATAGAAATCTCAGTGGTAACATATTATATTTTTGTAGAAAATAAGACATTCGTGGAATAAGTTCATAAATATGTTTTTTTTTATTTACAGATATTGGTACAATAATGCATGTGTCGGAAATGTCACCACTAAAGGGTTCTGTCTCGTGGACTGGTAAACCAGTGTCTTATTATCTACACGTAATTGACCGTACCAAGTTAGAACGTTATTTCCATCGCTTAAAGAATAATAAACAAGGTGGCGATGAAAATTCTGATTCTGTGATAAATAACACTGCCAGCAATAGTAATAAGATTATAAATAGAGGAGAAAGAGGTGACAGAGCTAAACGAGATCTTTCAAGACAGCTAGAAAGTCCGAATCATTCGGAGCAACAAGGAACAAATAGCGATTCAGATGTAGATGAAAGTAATATTAAAAATCGTCGGCAACCAAATAAGATCCGCAGAAAGTTAAATAGGAAATCTAATGGTATAACTAGACCACCTGCTAGAGGTAGACAGAGGGGAAGAGGAGTAAAGAAATCGAAGCCCAAGAAAACAATTAATATTTCTGGCTTAGATTTACTGCATAGTCAAACATTGCTTAGTACATCTCCACAAGCTTTGGGAAAGAAACCACCGCCTGCACCTGGTTGCGTGGATCAACAACTGTCTTCATTATCACTTTCATTACAGTCACATTCCACCTCTGTGCATGAAGAACTTAGTATACCACCTGCTCCGTCCGCAACTCCATATGCATTACAGATACTTTTGGACTTGTACAGGTATGTTTATTTTTTTGTATGATGTACATGTACTATTTGTATATACAATTTTTTATACAAATATATTTTTGTATGCAGGGACCAATTCATGCTTATGTTAGAATCGATGAGAACACCTTCATACAGAATATCAGTTAATACAGATATTGCAAAAGAAAGAGAAAGAAATTCAAAATTACAATCAAGAGCGGCACAATTAGAGAAACAAATAAAAGTATTAATTGATGATAGCGTAGCACTTTTAAAAGCAAGAATGACCGAGTTAGGTATAAATGCGACATCGCCTGGAGATTTACTTGCGAAAGCTAAGGAAATTGTTCTTAGACATAAACAATTGCAAGCTAAAGCAAGTAAGCTACAGGCCCAGGTTGCATCTATGGAAAGCGAACAATCGAGATTAACTGCTCTTAGACATCAAGAATTACAAGAGAAGTATAGTAATCTCGCAAATACGAATGGTATATCAAATCCACCACAGCCACTTACTCAGGATTATATATTGAAAGAAATTTCTGCGACTTTATCTCAACGTAAACGATTACATTGTCAGGTTAATAGAATGTTTTTATTAGGATGGATTACTTGCAACATCGAAACCTCGAAACTCTCGAAACTCTGAAAAAGTATAAAATCAATGAATAAAGAATTCTTTGCAGCACGAATAAAGAATGTTTGATTCATGTGTATGTTCAGTGCGAAATCTTTCGCGTTTTTTAAGGATGTGAGCAGATGTGCAATCGATCGTAATTCTAGAAAATGATAATATAAAATATCCAAATCTAAAAAAATTATAAGAAAGAAAAAAAAATCTTATTATACCATCGGTATTACACTAATATTATGTATTGAGATATTTCAGTACATATAGTCGACAAAAAAAGTAGATTAGGTCCAGAAAAAAGATTGGATATTAATGTTTTAAAACAAGAACTTTGATTTAAATATTTTTGTATGTTATTATGTTTTTGTTTGTATTTTGTTCCATTTAAGAACAAATAAAATAAAAATTCATATAAAAATGTCAATTCCAATTCTTAAAATAAAAAATTCCTCTTATGAAATAAAATCAACGCTTCAAGTTTCAAGAGTTTCGAGTTTCGAAATACACAGTTTTGGATTCCATTGGATTCCATTGGTTCTGAGTATTTAAATATTAGTTTCGAACGTATCCCTAGTTTTTATTATTATTGTTAATGTAATGTATGATATAATTAAAACAAATATTTAAATATACAAAATGAATTTTAATAAATTTATAGGTATCCAAATTGGAACATGAATTAAATGTATTGGAAAGAGCAAGCAATGAAAAACAGGTTGCTGCGATAGTTCAGCAGCAAAGAGAAGCGTTAGGTTCCAAACATTCGCAAAGTCAACATCATCATCAGCAGCAAAATGGAAAAAGCGGATCATCGCGGAAAAATAGAGAAGGACGTTCTAGGTCGCAAGAATGGCCTGATGTTCCTGATATCGGAAAAATACAGGAGAATAATCCAGAAATATTAGCGCAAAAGATTTTGGAGACCGGCAGGCAAATAGAAGCTGGCCGAATATTAAACAGACAAAATAGTAGTACTAGTAGTAATTCTAGAACCCGACTGCCACAAGCATCTCTCAGTTTTTCTACTACTTCATCATCTATTTCATCCTCACAACCACAGATAAATAATAAAGAAGCAACAAATAGAACTCAGGAACCTCCAAGAGTAGCAAATTTCGAAGATAGGTTAAAAAGTATTATTACAAGTGTTTTAAACGAAGATCAACAAAATAGAAATAAACAACAACAAATGCAACTACAGGTGCAATTACAAAATCAGACTGAGCCAGATAGAAAACGTGCATTATCACAAAATGTTTCTACTCCTGATTATACACAGGTAATTTCATAATTTTATCTAGTGTATAAACGCTTGTAATTTGAAATCACTTTGTCTAGGTTTCACCTGCGAAGTTGGCACTACGTCGTCATCTTTCTCAAGAACGTCTTTCGTCTCATTTAACACCATCTGACAGGCCAACAATCGACTCGAGGCAATCGAATCATGACAATCGTATTGCAACGGGAGGAAATGGACTACTTGGTACTAGAACGATTGGAGATTTAGTCAGTGGAGAAATAGAAAGAACGTTGGAAATATCTAATCAATCTATAATAAATGCAGCTGTTGATATGAGCGCAATGATAAGGCCAGAAACCGTATATTCTCCGATTAGTAGACCAGCTAGTGCGGAAGGTGACGCTGGTTTATCAACTTTAGCACACGTAGCAAGTTACGCTCCAACTTCTTCTGCAGTTTCAACTTGTACTCCTACCACAACTTCAAGATCATCAGTGTTATTTACTCCCGTAACACAACCACAAAGGTATTACATTATTATTATGTTAATAGTAATTGTATTCTTACATGTCAGAAGTTTCATTTTGCAATTAATCTATTTTTCCGTATTTAGATATACGCCAGTTCAGTTACCTCGTGCAGACATCAAACCTTATCATGAGTCATATTTCTCTGACAATCCTCAGTCACTCACACAGGCCCATCCTCCATCATCATTGCATACATCACAGGCTGCATCAAACGGCGAGCTTTTGCCAGTAGAAGGATTAGCTGCATCTTTACATGCTCGCATATTAAATAATCACAACACAAAGACCGAGCCGATGTTGACTACGAATAGAAGGTATTGGAATTTCGTTTACACTTTTCTTTCTCTTTTTTTCATGTTAGAAAAAGTGATCGAACCTCTATTTCTCTTATAATAGATTTCAACCGTATCCTCGATATGCAACCAGTAGCAACAACAATGGCAGCGCAGTAACAAATGGTATGGTGACAGCTATTTGTCAATCACAACCTACGATGTCAGTAAAAACAGAGGCAGTTGTATCATCAGTAAGCACAAGCGGAGCGCCCTTGAGTCCTCTTATAGAACCGCATTCTAATACGTCTACGCCACTAGTCGATGAACCTCAAATGACAACGCAGAGACAACGAAACGGTATTGGCGATGACGGTGAGCAGAATGTTTTATGTTTTTATTTTACTTTTTATATTATGCATTCTATCAAAGTAATAGAGTAGGAAGTGCTTCGGAATGTATATGTACAAATTTTAAAATATGCTTTCCACACTGGCTGTAAGAAAAAGTATCAACACATTTAAAGTTTTGAAAGTTTTGAATTATATACCAAATATCAAAAATTCTTTGATATTGTTATTTTTATTAATAAAATAAGTTAGTCTTTATAATGCAACTATACTTGGTAATAAAAATTACCAATCCAGCAACAGAATAGAAGAGGATCTTAAAATTAATGGCAAATACATTTCACTTTTCATTCTACTATTAATATTTTAATTTTATTACACGTAAGGTGTATTTACTCTGCTCATCAATACTCTTTTATATCCCTACTATACAGAATTTATACTCTAAACACTTTGCTTTATCTTTTTTAATACACTATTGTATTAGTTTCTGCTATGCATCTTTTATTAGTTTTTTTATGCACTAATGGTTTAAGATTATGGTTTACCTTATCTTATGGAGCTGGTACTTGATCTTTATTTATATTTATTTTTGTTGTTGTTTGCTGTATTTGTTAGATGCACTGTAGCTGTTTGTTGGTTAGATCTGTCTATCACATACTCAATCTCACTCACAACCCTTGAAGCTTGTTTTATTAGAGATTGAGACACATTCAGAGGGAGAAATCAAAAAGTACGGCTGTCTGTGGGTTGGTTCGTGGTTGCTGGTGAGTTATCCCACAGGAGTTGTTCAAAATTCCTTTTTTTTTTTTTTATTACAGTTATTACAGCCATTCGATAAAATACAGATTTAGATTCTTAGCTTTTTTATTTTTTACATTATATATGCTAAATATATTATGTATATAATATAATACATTTTCCATGAAAATAAGCCAGACTCAAAAAAATTTTTCACAAATTACAGCCTACTTATGCATAGGAATTTAAGAGGAGATAATAAGAATAAATAGAGCATGTTAGAAATAATGTATTTTTAGTTGATGGGTTTTTATAATTTTGGTGCATGCTTTTCTGCATGGTTGGAATAATATATAAAATATGATTAATGTAGTGTTTTTTTCATTGAGTAGTTTTATGCATTGTACAAGAAAAGATGATGTGGATTTTACAAGGTACTGTACATGATACGTAAATATCACATATATTGTATTTTTTAATAAATGATTTATTTGTATAATCGAAAAAGAAAAAAGGATGAATGACTTTTATTAACTACCTGATGGACATAATATTTACTTTTACTTTCAACTTTTTCTTTTGTGACGAGAGAAAATGCTGTTACGCATACCCATTAATTCGTGCCAACGTAAGGTGGTGTGAGGCCATACCCACTAAAAATCTTTCCTCTTTTTCCTTCATAGATGCACTTCCCCCTGGGATCGCGGTTGCATTCAGGGCGGAAGTATTATACCCCTATTTTCTATATTTACTATATTTCAACTATATTTCAAATGTACAGCTTCTTATACTCTATCTTTAAAATAAAATTTACTATGATCAAATACAATACAGATAATATTTTATTACTAATAGGATTATTTTGTTGCACACTAATTGTGACTTGATATATATGCGCATACAAAGAATGATAAAGTAACAATTGCAAGTATACAAACATATATCTTATTGCATAATTATTGAGAAGGCTTATTTTTATGAAAATACGTTGTATCGTTTTAGAGCGGCTAAGCGATGCAGCATCTAAATGGAATTCATTTTACAGACGGGGAAGCGGATTGGCAAGATCGCATCAGTTCCGGATTTGATAGACTGGTTGCGTTCGCATCGACAGAATTAGACAAGCGAAGAAGATCCACAGAGGGAGTAAACACGAGTCCTGATAGCGGTTTAGGATCAGATAGCACGGTAACGGGACCTCCACCAGTGATACCATCGCCGGACGAAGCACTGGGGCCTCCACGTACACCTTCACCGACCAGTCCTCGTCCACCGAATCCCTCCAATAGTAGTAGTACGAGCAGTAACAGCAGTAGTAGCAGTAGCACGTCTTCGGTGCCTCTAAAATATCAACGTCAACCGGATCCGGAACGACATCATTTTAAGAAAAAGTTTTTTCATAGGGATTGGAACAACTCTGGAAGTACCAGTAAGTTTCGTCCTAAAGGCAAAGATTGGGATTGGAATCACTCTGGACAGTGGTCTTCGAACGACGAATAATTTTAATCAACTTTTTATATGTATCTTGAAAAGCGAGTATATTAAGCTTCTTAATGGGTTCTTTCTTGTTAAGTTCACAGAATTAAGTTGATTCACAGAATTAATTTATATTTTCACACGCAATAGAACTCCATTTGTTGGAATGAAATTTTAGTTAGCACTAAATAACTACTCCTGCCAATTGATTCTATTTATACAAGCATGCATTCATTATTTGAATGAAATCGTAGAGGAAAATCAGTGAATTTTTTTGTTATATGAATCCTAGTTATATGAACTGTTTGTTCCTCCGTATATTCAGATAAATGGAGTTCTACTTGTTATTTGTTTTCACAGTAGAGTTGTTATCTTATCTTTCCTTTCCTGCTCTTCGCAGTGTGGTGTTCAAGATAATTTTCAATTATTTCAAAATATGCAACTTAGCTACGAATCATGGTTCTCGTCCACGATTTAAAATGTTTCTCTCTTTTTTTCATTATCTCTTTTGGCTTTATAGTTTATATAATTTATATAATTTGAGTTTATACATTTATTTATTTATTTAATGAAAATCTTGACTACGGGGCTAAACATACTGCGAAATTTTTTCAAAGTGTATTTCGATTCTAAAATCTATTTAATATTTAGCTGTATACACACGCGTATTTTAAAACGTGAAGGACAGAAGAATGTCGAAAACCTTGTTGTTATACATTACTCACTGATAAACATTCAAAATTAATGTTATTAGCTGCTACATTTTTTGACGCAAAGAAAACAATAATTTAGAAGATAATCATTATGGATTTAATATATGAACATACGGTGAGAATGTGTTTGCCTTCATAAAATATATGCTAATACCATAGAGATTATATTCCTTTAAAAAAAAAAAAAAAAGAAAAAAACAGAAGAGGAAAAATTAAACAATTTGTAAATGGACTCATCTATAATTATGGTACGTGATTGTCACATATGTAATAAGGTAAAAGAAAGTGCTGTGTAAAACATGTACCATATATTATGAACGTTGTAGTTAACGAAACTAGCCGGCAAAACAGAAAGAAAAAAAGCTACCAAAACCTACGTGTGTTCGTAGCAAATATTCGCTGCATATTTTATGCGCAGCTCTGTGTCCTCCAATTATTTCCGGAGGATACAGTTTATCGAAGTGTTCACTGTTGCTCATAAATGAATATGACAACAGACAGCGAAGAATAGTCATTTCACTATCGGAAGTTAAGTCTAATTTATCTTTCTGTTTTTTCTTTTTGTTTCTGTCTTTTTTTTTATCTGGCACAAATTTACTCATTGATTTGTAAGATTGTGCAGAATAATCCAAAGAATGATCTCTTCTACAGGAGAGTTTAAATTAAGAAATTTTTCCCAGCGGAGTTTGATCAGACTCAAAATAATCTCGCTGGCTTATATGAGATTCTCAATTTGTAAATAAAATACGGCGCGCTTTCAATCAAATTCGTGCGTCTACGTTATATAAAAGATTTTTTAGTCATTGTATCGTAAATATAGCGGAGAAAATTTGTAAAAAGGGAAAAAGCATAGGAGAGAGGTGATTGTCATCTATAAGATATAAAAGAAAGAAAGAAGAAGAGAGGGCTAGAAAAAATTGACTTAATCGTCACTTGATTGTAATTAGTTATCCAATTATTTAACAATTTTACCTATTGATATGATATAATTAAATAACAATGTAGGCACCTGCCAAGTTTAGCAAGTTATATATACACTGCCGAAGATCTTCAATTAATTAATTTTATTATTGATCATGATTATTATTTATTGTTTTTATTGAAATATTTTAATACTAAGGTTTTTGTAACAAGCATATTTTCTCTTTTATTTCTACCTTCCATTTAATACTTCAGTAAAAAAAAGAAAAAAAAAAAAACAAAAGGAGAAAAAAAAGAAGAACAAAACGAATTTTACAAACCATGATACAATGAAAATAATACCGATGTTATATTGTTACCCTTTTATTGAAGTAACAAGAAAAGAGAACAACATAGACATGGTAGACATATTTTTAAGCGTATATCCAAGGGAAAGAAATTTATTACGATGTTGCTTGATTATGTTGATTGTTATCTATGGAATAATACATACTTTTGCCGTATACAAAAGAACACGCTAGTACGTTTGTTAGGATAATTTATTGATTTGTTGCGTGAGCGAACAATACATGAACAAGAAATGATCGTAACATGACTTTATAGAACCAAGAAGCAGATGTAAACAGTATCTGTAGATATAATGCAACAAAGTACAAAGTTCTACCTGAACAGATTATATTTCATACAGTATCTGTTTTGTACATCGAGTAACCAATGCATTGAAATATACCACATTTTTTATCTTAATTTATTAAATTTTTAATCGTTCCATTAACAATGCTATCATCGCGTTCATTGAAACGAAAAAATTGTATATTCTGTACTATCGCTTAATGTATACATGTAAGTTATATAGAGAACGGTATTTGTGACAAGAAAAGATGAAAAGTTATCAACTTCCTATGAACTCCGTTTCCTATGCACCTCGACAAACATTAACATGGAACTCCTGCATTATTCTTACATAATTCATACGAAATTTAACGTCAATGACATTCGCAATACAGGTGCCAGCATGCACTTTGTATATTATGCTTTTGCAAAAGATAAACGAGATACGGGTTTCACAAACCCCGTACGCGTATATATAAGAACAAGTTCGTTGCTCCTCCAAGTACTTGAACTTGAAATTTGTAACGTGCAGCATGGCCTTCGTATTAGAAACTGTTCTACTATTTTTATTTCGACTAGCGTTCGCTCGAAACACGCAAGATATCGAAATTGTTTTATTACCATTATGGAATGCAGAAGATAGCGCGAAGGTAGCTATTCATTGCATTATATTTATTTTTATACACACGAATCGGGTAATTTCGAAACGCAGCTTCCTCTAATAAAATTATTCCATTGAAGTACAGTGTAAATAATGGAAATTCGATTAGCAACAAACGTATTGAATTACTTTCTTCCTACAAATATAACGTCGTAAGGTCATCGAAAATAAATTACAGATCCCTTTAAGTTTCAAAGCTTTCGACCAGTCTGTTCAGCTAATATTACACAGAAATGATAAGATCACGGCACCTCGATTTAAAGCTTGGAAACACGGCGATGCGGATAGCATGGAGGAATTGACAGAGCTTGGTAAATCAGTTTCGTGTCATTACCTCCATCGAGATGATGTTAGTTCCGCGGCAGTGAGTCTCTGCGGAGAACGGGGAGTGGTCAGTATCGAAATTCAGAAAAACGTTAGAAAGAAGGATATTCTTCGTGAAACAAGCTCCTGTTTTTTTTTTTATCGCAGCATGGCTTCGTTTTCCTAAAGAACATCACGTTAGAGATCACGCCGCTTCAGAGTCAGGAGATCTCATTCTTCGACGATCGTTACGTACGACGACGTTCAGAGATACTAGGAGAGCCTCACGTCGTCAAAAGAGCCTACCGTCCTTTCGCGTTTTTCGAGGACGACGCGGATTATCATGCTCAGCTTGGTAATTACGTAACAGACGGAAACGAGCGAGGAGAACCGCTCGAGAACTTCAACGAAGATAACGTGAACGATGCTTTGACGTTAGAATTGGCATTGTTCTTCGACGAGACTGGCTACAATCTCTTCTCTCCATTTTTCGATGATAATTTCGACGAGAAAATCCTCGACATGCTGTTAGCCTACGTAAACGGCGTGCAGGCGATTTATCATCATCCAAGTTTAGGAATTGCAATCGACATTTCTCTGGTTAGGCTGGAGATCATGCAGAAGCAGCCTCGCGATCTGCCGCATCACAACGGCGAACGAGGGAAATTATTGGACTCCTTTTGCAATTACGCAGTGACGAAGAATCCGCGGGATGAGTTTCATCCTAGCCATTGGGACCTGGGCCTGTACGTTTCTGGTCTGGATTTCTACGTTGCGGAGACCGGGCGAAAAAATAGCGCTACCATGGGACTGGCAGTAGTAGGTGGACTGTGCATCGACCAATATTCTTGCGTTATTGCCGAATTAGGCGTGACGGATCAATTTGGGAAACCTTTCCCATCGGCAGGATTCACGTCCGTGTACATAGCAGCGCACGAAATCGGTCACAAGTAAGTTTACTAATTCTCTAGACTCTGTTTTTTTCCCTCTGGTTTTGGAAATCTCTTAACGAAAGGAGAGTTGAACGACACCCTCTCTCTACGAAAGAGAGAGAGAGAGAGAGAGAGAGAGAATGGAATGCTCGAATAACAACAAAGATTAATGACTCTTTCCTAAAAAGTTTAGGTATGCATCACGACTCGACTGGAAATGCGTGTCCAAAGGACGGCTACATAATGTCACCCAGCAGAGGAACCAATGGCGAGACCATTTGGTCGGAATGTAGTCGGAACGTGGCTGAAAAGCTTCCGTATACGAAGCCCTGTCTCAAAGACAGGCCAGCCTCGCTTACAAATAGCGGACTCGATCATACCAAGTTCTTCAATTTGCCAGGCAGGGAATGGACCGCGAAGAGGCAGTGCGAAGTATTCCTCCGTGACAAAGATGCCACTGTAGCCACGTATTACAAAGTCTGCGAGTCTCTGCAATGCAAGACCGTGCACAGAAGCGGGTATTACTTCGCTGGACCTGCTTTGGATGGGACTTACTGCGCACCTGGCAAAGAGTGCCGCGGCGGTGAATGCAGAAACGCCGTGCAAATGTACCCCGGTTTCATTCAACCGGGAGGATGGAGCGAGTGGAAAACAGGACCCTGTAAAAGTGGATGCCTGTTGAGATCGAGCGGCGCTCAAACTAGGCAACGATACTGCGACAGGCCAACGCCGAAGTATACAGAAACCGGTTGCCAGGGATCGCACTACGACGTGCTCCTTTGTAGGGATGACAGTCTGTGCAAGAGGAAACGTAAGAGCGCGAACGAGTTCGCGACACTGAGGTGCGAAGAGTTCAGCGAAAAATTGCCAGAATTGGACGCGAAGGGTGGCGGGCTGCAGGCGCCGCACGAGCCCGAAAGGCCGTGGATGGCCTGCGCTATATTCTGTCGGCGAAAAGACATAGCGTCTTATTACACGCCGCGCGTGGAATTAAACGATCTTGGCCTTGACCCATACTTTCCAGATGGGACATGGTGTCACGCCGAGGAGGGACAAAATTATTTTTGTCGCCAGCATCACTGTCTGCCGGAGAGCTTTCGTTTCGAGAAAACATTGTTGAACGATCGTCAGCAGAACGACGACTTGGAATTTGGGCCTCAAAACGCACATGCCGGGGGGCTTCGTCTTGACGATCAGACGATCAAATATTTGAGCTTGGGCCCCGACGGATTGCCCCTTTTGACCTCTCTGTTGTACGGTATTGGGTTTCCGCCAGACGAGGACGAATGGATCGATAAAGATTACGTAGAGTTGGTGGAACTAACGGGGTGAGCTCTCCCCGAGTCGTCGCATCGGATAAGAGAGTAACGCGAACTAAAGCGAAATACTTCGCTAGTACGACTAGTTACTTTCGTTCTGAATTGTTATTTACTTTGTAATTATCTTTTTATTGATATCAATATTTTCATTTCATTTCGATAAATCATAAATTCATAAGTCGTGTGAATTTGTAACATGTGATTGACAAGGCACACAGTATTAACTAATTTTTAAGATAGAAGAATTTAGGATTGTTAATATTCAAAAATTTTTCGTGTCTTATCTTCTCGTTATTGTCCAACCGTTTTCTCTACGAAGTATAAATATAAAAATACATATACGTATGTTAAAATGAAGGGTGTAAACCTCATACGTGAATATATATATATACGTGCGTATTCATACAGAAATTCTACTATTTCACTACACAGTTGTGTATGAAAGTATCTCGGGAGATAGGACGATGACGTCACCTACTTCGCTGTCTATTTTAAGAGTGTCCCGATGTTATATCTAGCGTAGGAGCGATCATGAGACAAAAGGACTGAATAAAAATACAAAATTGTGTCACTTAATTGTATCGATATTATTTTAGCGTACAAATAATTAATCAATCATTAAAATTAAGAAGACGCATTACATAAGAAAACAATCGGCTCGATATTACAAACAGTTTCTTTATACACACATCTGCTTTCATATGACAAAATCTTCCACCAATTACCGTAAAATCAAAGAAAATTAATGAGCAAGGTACAATTTTTGTACTTTGATGATATGAGAATACATGAATTTAATTTCTTTTGCTAATGTATATGAAGGAGTGTCAAACTATAATGTACAAATAATGAAAAACCAGCAAAAATAAAATACGACGATTTAAACAGTAATGGTAGTTTAATTTGTCATATTTCTGTAGATTTACCGCTCATACAAATCAGACACGCATCACGCATTTACGTCAAAGAATACTTACAAATCCATCCACGTAGCAAACATATGCTCATTCACCCCAACTGTTTACACAATACATATATACTTCAAATGTACAGAATAAACAAAATTAAGGAAATCACATTCATACAGACCGATTCACACTGTTAAACCATATAACTTAATGTAAGATATTCAATCAGTAATCAGTATTTTAGGATCATTCTTCCCGCATGTAAAGCCAGAAGTACATTTCATTGTTTCTATCAAAGCAATGATTTTTCGTTTTACCATTCCGAATTGTAATGAACATAAACTTGTCTAAACTCAAATCAGTAACCTGATTTTCTTTACATTTGACTAATGGAAAAATCACATTTTCCTAGCTAGAAGATAAAATTATTATTTGCATCGCCTTAACAAATATTTTTGTCACAGCTCTCTAACCACGCATTTATGTACTAGAACGTACACGAGTGTTTATTCTCGTCAATTGGGACGATTAGAGGACTGTCGTTGTGATGACAATTATCCATGCATTTTTTGTTTTCAATTTTGCGTATTCAATTCGGCAAAGTATCATACAGTATGTCCTTTGCACTTTGCGATAATGTTTCAGGAAATTTGATGTCGAACGAGACCAAGAGATCACCTTTTCTTGATGGTTCTTTTGGGAATGGTAGGCCATGACCCTGAATCCTCCTAACCATATTGGGCTTTACGATTTCTCTTGTCAAATTTAAGTTGATTTTTTCGCCAGTAAGCGTAGGAACTTCAATGACAGTACCGCATAAAGCTTGCTTTAAGCTTAACTTGCATGTGTATCTTATATCACTTCCCTCTCTTCTAAAGAGAGGATGTGGTTTGTCTCTGATGATGAAAACAATGTCTGCTGGAACTTTCCCACGGCCTTGGTCACCTTCCTTTTGGAAAGTGATCTTAGTGCCAGCTTTCCATCCTGGCTTGACGTTAATTGTAAGAACTTTGTCTTCCTTTTTAGTAGTGCCATCAGGTTGTACAACTCGTTTGGAGATTTTCATTTTTTTCACACAACCACGTAGAATTTCTTCTAAACTGATGTAGAGATCGTGTTCAATAGGAGGATCTTGAGCACGATCCTTATTGCCACCTCTGCCGGAATTAGATCCCACAAAGTTGAAAGAATGTGATCTGAAAGCTCCACCTTGGCCACCTTGACGCTGTGGCCCAACTCCCAGTCCAAGTGGGTCATCAATGTCCATGTCATCATCGTGGAAAGCAAATAATCGGTTTCCTATAGGACCTCCAAACTCGAAGAAGGAAGTTTGGAAAGGACTAGCAGAACCAAAGAATTGAGCAAAGGTGGCTTTTGGATCTCCATGGAAAGTATATGTTGTTCCACCACCACCGCCTCCTGCTGACCCAGCTCCTCCCTTTAATCCCTCCTCGCCGAAGGTGTCATATACCTCCCTCTTTTTAGCATCAGAAAGCACCTCATAAGCTTCGGCTATTTCCTTGAACTTCTCTTCTGCTCCAGCACTCCTGTTTTTATCAGGATGATACTTCAAAGCTAACTTTCTGTATGCTTTTTTGATCTCATCGTCGCTGGCACTTTTGTTTATGCCTAATATTTTATAATAATCTTTCCCCATTGGTCACTGATCTGCAACAATTTAAATAAGAGGAAAACTGATATATTATTCATTATGTAGAAATGAAAATTAAATTTTTTTAAAATAAAAAATCAATTTATTTTCGTTTTTTATTTATTTTATTTGTTGTTAAATTACATTTCGGCAATACCTTTTTATGGCATTTCTCTAGATTAATAAATAAATTGCAAGAATTTACTTTGGTCTATTTGAATTGTTTTATATCGAACTGTATGTAGGTTTAAATTTTACGAATTACATTGTTACACAGTGCGGAAATTATACACATAACAATGCATGGTCCAAGCGAAATGTTACATCATTGCAAAACTTGTTTTTCGAGGATCTGTGTAATATTCTATATCGACGATTTGGGAAACGATGGTCAACGCAACGTGACCATAAAAGTGCGGCTCTTTCTGATATTTCAAGTATGTCTTCGACGTCATACAAAACAAAGAGCTGTTTTCATCTTTTACAAATCACAGTAGCAAGATATAAAAAATACTCATTTTTTGTTACATACAACAATTTTAAGTCCCATCTTAATTTTTTAATTACAGTTTTATATAATTTTGTAAAAGGTTATCGACGAAAGGAGTAACGAAGTAAGTGTACAAAAATCTTGAATTCTCTAGTGAAATCTTTTGCAATTAAACCTCGTGTTGAAGTGCGAATGCTAATATCATACGACGTATGGAGTTTTGCAGTCGAGAAAACTAATTCTGAGAAGGCTACATAATTTCCCAAAATTTGAAAGCGTAGAGAACGTGATTTTCAAAGTCACGTTCGCGTTCGGTATCGAATGAAGTTCCTAAAAGCACGAAAGAGTAAAACATCCTACGTTGCTCCCGCAATCAGAGGACAACTGTAAGCAGAACAATGGCACATAGACACCAAATACGATAGTGTCATGATCTGCCATTTTTTTTTGCATATTCTCGACAAAATGAGTATGGATGTCTCTCTAACGCACACCTACGTACATGTTTCACCGATATCTATTTCTGGCAATGATGAGCGCGTACAAGCGACGAACGTGTCCGCTTCTACAAACGTGCAACAATTTCGAGCAGCGTAAAAATAAATTCTACCGTGTCCACGCGATGGCTGCCCTAATCTTCGTCGAGCGTATTGCCTACCGTGAAATTAAACGACAAAATATGTTCTCGAAAATCTTTCCCACCACGGATCGTCCATTTTTTTTTTCCTTTCTCGCAAACATCTGACAGAATCCAAGGATTACCTACGGGAGTATTCGTCGTTCGCAATTTCCATTCGACACTTACCGTTGCTGTTCTTCCTATCGCTTGATGGATTAGAAAATCCGATTGGCACTGAATTCACTTGTGATTTATTGAAAATGTTACGCAAATCGATGAAATGTTTGTTTCTGACAGATTGCTTGAAACAACATTTAACACCTCTCTTCACGTACTAAAGTGTCGCGTAAGCTGTGCGGTCCATATATACAAACTTTCGTTCTAGTGGCTTCCGGAACTTTCGAGAATGGGTCGACGGCAGTTCCGTAGCACTTATTCAATGACGTCAGTAACCCCCACTCCTCGTTATAGATCGAAAACGTGACCGAGAATCGTGCCCGGGCTTTATGAAACGTAATATTGTTACTACAGTGAATAAACAATATAATGAATAAATTAATATATTGTTAGTAAATATTCGCAAAGTAGTTGATATTTTTTTCCAAGATAACGAGAATTTTGCTCATTTAATGTTACCTTACGAAAATAAATAACAGAAATTGTTACTGTTATTACAATCTGAACTTAGCCAAGTGTACTATTGATATAACTCGATGAATTCGGTGTTAAGAATTTTATGCATACGTATACATAATGCCATGTTCATGAAGACATTTAAATATTATACAAATGAATTTTTCTGATTGATAAAATATCGACAATTATTTCATTGCTCTCGTCAGCTGTTCTAACATCATTATGCAAGATGTGATAATCAAATTTGTTTTTCAAGGAAGGAAATCAAATATAATCAAGATTGTTTTTTTGTCGTTAACAGATCAAGGCCATTTGTATAAATTGCATTTTACTTTTTTTTCAGACCTATAAGAATCGCATTGCATTATCATGTATATATTAAAGTAAAAAGTTTAATAATTTTTTACATAAATTTATTAACATTGCATTCTATAAAAATCGAAAGTATTTCTTCGTGCGTAACAAATAAATGTACATTATATATATAATAATAAAAATTGACTTAATTAACATTATGCATATATATTTTATACATAATAAATACGTAATAAATGCATCATTTTAACATTTTTATCTACTCAGTCGTAAGAACAGCGCATGTCTACATTCTCGTGAATTCGGTGGCATATATTTGTCATAAAAATCTTGAACAAATTCCTCGACTTTGAAACCGAATTTCTGATACAAAATTAACGCTGGATTAGTGGCTGAAACGTGTAACGTAACATCTTTGCCCATACACGTTTGAATTAGATGATAAAGCATAAATGTTCCTATACCAGATCTACGCCATTCGGGGCGAGTTAAAAAAAAAGATATGTATGCTTCATTGTAACCAACATCGGGAACTAAAATTGCAAATCCTATGACTAATTTTTTGTACAGAACCACACAGCTAAAGTCAGGATATTGCAAACATTCTGTCACTAGAAAAAATAAAATTTCTTTTTAAAACGCAAATACAGATATATGTTTAGTTATATATTTAGAAAATTAAAAATAATTATTACAGATGATTTTACATCGAATTATTACGTAATTGTTATATTTACTTACAATCAATGCCTGGCCAAAAAAATTGACTACACAAACTATTAATCGCAGGTATGTGCTGTGGTCTCACGTAAGAATAGTCGATCGATGACAGTGGTGTTGCTTTCCATTTAGGATTAGATTTATTGACCTTAGCACGAAGTTCGTCCATTACTTTCAACCATAAAGGACGGCACGAAGTATCTCTTCTTATAAATGGTTTTAAAATTCTATTGGTATATGGACTGTGTACAGACGTGGGTTCATTGTATCCTTGTAATCTTTGTTCAAACAAACTTAAATCATCGCCAAAAAATCGATCTAAAACTCTGCCAGAGTCTTTTAAAGGCTTATCAAGTATTTTTGTCTTACAACCAAAATTATCCATATCTAATGTAGGTAAACCATATTCACGTTTCAATTTTCGTACAGCTAACTTTCGGTAAAATCGTCTGATTTCCGGAGGTGCAATGTTCAGGGTCGATTTGTTAACTTGTTGTAATAAATATGCTTCTTCCTGAAGTGTCATACGTGGAATTTTTTCCCCTAAAATAATATTAAAAAATAATTCTTAAAAATGAATTATATCTTAAATATATGACAGAAATATATGTATACTATTAGCGTAATTTCGTTGCCAGGGCCATGGACGTCGTTGTGTGGTCTTAAATAAAGAAACAGGTGGTTGTTCTTGAACAAAACTTGGACTGTCGTTGCTCTCTTCTTCATTTAGACTGCCGTTACTGTGTTCTTCTTCCTCTTCATCTTCCTTCATTTGATCTGTTTTGATATTAAGGTTTTGTGATATAGTATCTGTTGTGGTAGATGTCCATTCTGACGTAAAATCATCCAGTAATTGTGAAAAATGGAAATTATTAGTCTGATATTGACAGTCTCTTATTAAATCAGACAATGATGGTGTGTCATTTTGTTCAGTAGACATTATATCATCTTCAATATCTATATCTAAAATTGAATAATATATATAATAATTTTAAATATTCATTACGTGTTTTATCTATATTTTACAGATACATACTGTTTAGTTCATTCTCCTCAAGTAAAAGATCAAATAGTGTTTTATCAGGTTGAACATATGCTTGTGAATATGCAGAGCAATCTTGATTTTTTGTTGATGCATTTCCATAACTACTATTCTCTCCAACTGAAATACTTGATTCTGATAGAGTTGGACTGTCATGTAATTTATTTGATGTTTTAGCTTTTACTTGTTCAGCTTCTTTTCTTCTACGATCTAATATCATTTTTTCATCTATAATGAAGAAATATAACTATATTATATAAAAATAACTATAGTTATATTTTATGAAAATCATAGAATTGTTGATTACTTTTAGCAATAAGAATTTCAGGTGGGTCATTGCTCATTAACCTCCACCATCCAGATTCTTCTAATTCTGTAGTTCCTGACTTAAAAAAAATTCCGCTATAATGAGAAAGAGTTCCAGATATTGTACCAATCCAATTTTTCTTTCTTTTACTAAAAAATAACAAAAATATAATGACATGTAAATTTTATTTATCAATTTTGATTAATTTTCTAATGTAATATCGTACACTGTCTTTTTGAACAAGCAATCCCAGTTACGGTCAACAAATGTACTAATGTCAGATTTCCAATGGAAATATCCTCTTTTGCTGATACCACTTGACTTTTCACGTAAATTATACAATGTTAATATAATTACAGTCAGCCACGGCATCCTATTGCGTGCTATTGTTTCTTCACCGAATGGACTGCAATCGGAACAAGCTAAATCAAAAAATACATCTCCTACAAATGATACTGGAACGCTTTTTCGCTTTAAACATTCTACATGAATTTTTTTTGAACATCCATTACAAGATAATGCTGGTTTATTGTATGGATCACATAAATTTCCACAAATTTTACAATATTCTGTTGTCAAGCGATCAACAGATTTCGTTTTGAATTCGCTATCTTTTTCATTATTTACATCTGCCATTGTTTATTTAAATAACAATTTGTAAATGTATTATTAAAAGGTAATTTCTGGGTTTCGGTTAGATTTTCAAATAAAACATTGTCTGTTTTATGCAGTTATCTATTTTAAATACACATGTTACACAAATCTAAAACAGAAATATTTTAAACTATTATAATGTTAATAATTATTATTTCTATTATTTCTCTGCGGAGCACATTGAGGTTACTTTTTTGTATACTTTACAAGTTCAGATCGTTCTTCTACTTACTATCTGAACATGGTCGCACATTACATGGCGGAAAATGTATGAACGAATGTTAAGTAAATAAAATTATACAAATAGTAAATTTGTTGTTTAATATGAACTATAATCTTTATATGAATGTATAAATGTATGATCGACTTTTTATTGACAATTTTATTTATAAATACTGGAGCCGGCAAATTTTTTTACTTACTAGTATCGTAAATAATAATTTTTGAATGTTAATTGTGTTTGTTGCTATGGAAGTATAAATACAGATTCTTGGAAGTAGACGTGTATATTTTGTGTATAAAATTCGAAAGTTATCTTCGTATTTTTTAGTGAAAGAAAAGAAAAAATTCTTAAAATGGTTGTTCATTTGCAAAGTAGGGTATTTTATGGTTTAAAAACTGATATAAGCTCAAATGTTCACTACATTTCGGATACAGAAATTCTGTACCCTGTTGGAAATGTAATAGCACTTCATAACGTGCCGCAATATCGACAAAGGTTCATACGTTTACCTGAAAAACAGCAAATAAATATAATTTCAGTTACGCATAACAAGTAGGTTTTTCCACATATAGTTAATATTTGTATCCTCTAATATAAAGTTTAACATTATTGTTTTAATCTTTTTCTTTTTTTCTTGTAAAGAAAATATGTTGCAATATGCGATATTGGAGAAAAACCTACTATTTCTATTTATGATATTGATACACTGAAAAGAAGGAAACTTCTTGGAATACCATACGATGCACCTGATGTAACAAGATTTACATGTATAGGATTTACTTTTGATAATAAGCATCTAGCTGCAGTTACAGGAGAGCCTGACCAAACAATGCTTTTTTACAATTGGGAAAAGGGAAAAGTAGAGTCTAGTATAAAAGTAGGCACTCCTCAGAATCCATTAGCTATTGTAGAAATATTAGCTTGTAATCCATCTGAGGCAGGAGTACTTGCACTTGGAGGTCTATACACGTTTAAATTCTTGACTCTTTCTGACACTGTATGGCGGCCGTATGGATTTTCTAAAGCAGACAATATTCTTACATGTTCTATGACTTGGTTGAATTCGGATAGATTATTGCTTGGAACCAAAGATGGTAAAATACTTTACTTAGAGAATGGTGATTTAAAAAATATCTATAAAATGACTGACACGGTATTCATGAATCTGAAAATTCGCGAAGAATATGTTATACAAGCTAGTAGTTCTATTGCAACTATGGATGCAAAAGAAGACATCCCATGGGAAAATAATGTTCGTTGTTTAATTGCATTTCAAAGAGGTTTTGCATATGCATTTGGCTCAAGAACAATTATAGTTTTTGAGAAAGAAGGCCCGCATAAATATACAAAAAGAAATATTTATATAATACCAACTCAAATATCAAAGCAAGAGAATGAAGATTTATATCAAGTCAATAGCATAAATGTTAATTTAAGCTCAGACCGTTTGTTAATTACAACTGGTTGGCCTCAGTTGTTTTATGCAAGATTATGGGGACCAGACTTAAATGTAGATCCAGAACCACAAGAGTTAAAAATTATGGGTCAGGCATGGCATTTTGGACCCATAAGTGATCTTTCTGTATGTGCTTGGAAATCCACTTTCATGACTTGTGGAGAACTTGACCATAGTGTAAGATTGTGGGATTTTGAATCAGAAAGACTAATTTTACATAAACAATATACAGAAGATATTTGTGGAATTGCTTTACACCCTACAGGTCTTTTCTGTTTGATTGGATTTAGCGATAAATTACGTTTCATGAGCATACTAATAGACGATTTATTACCTATGGAGGAATTTTCTATAAGATGTTGTAAGACCGTGAAATTTAGTCACGGAGGTCATTTTTTCGCCGCTGTTAATGGAAATATTGTACAAATTTATTGTACTATTGGTTTTACTAGCAGTTTTATTTTAAAAGGGCATACTAATAGAGTGAAGACTTTACTTTGGTCACAAACAGATACAAAACTACTTACACTAGGTGCAGAAGGTACAATCTATCAGTGGGATATGACTACTGGTCGTCGTTCTGCCGAAATAATTTTAAAAGGGATTGTTTTACATGATATTGCTCTTTCTGCTGATGAACAGATTACCTATTGCATTGCTGATGATAATAATATATACGAAATAAAAGATAATACGGTAATAATATATAAATTCTCTACAACTTTATAAACATAAACAGAGGATAATCTGGTATACTATTCATATTAGACGCGACAATATAGTTTCCCTGATGCAAACATGTATTCCATAGTACTAGGGAAAGAAGATCAAGTTTTATTTTTTGTTTGCCCCGGTGGTATTATTTTATCAGTAAAATATCCATTTCAAGAACCGATACACTATGTAACTTTTCATATTCATTCTGCTGATATTACAAAGGTAGGAACCTATAAGTGTATGAAGTAAAGTACAATGTAATTAGGCTTTATTCTTTGCAGATTGCCCTTTCTTATAACGAACAGTTTTTGATATCTACTGGAATAGATGGTAGTTTATGTATTTGGAAATTAATCTATCCTGAAGGAAAAGGAAAGATTGGGAAAGAACTCACATATACAAATGAAGTGCTAATTAATAAAGATGACTTGCAAGAGAAAATACAAACAATAATTGATTTAAATGTTAGAATGAGGGAACTTGAAACTGAACACGCGTATAAAATTCGTCAAATAGAAGTAGTACATAATGACAAAGTACGAGATATACATCAAGGATATTTCGAAGCTATTGAAGAATTAAGAGATAAGATAAGTAGATTACAGGAAGACCATAAGAATGAACTGAATACAATAAACGTCGAAATACTTAAAATGAAGGAGAAACACGAAGAGACGATGAATCAAATGGAAACGAATTATAATGCTAAACTGATTGTAGAATATGATAAATATCTAGCGCTTGAAAATACAATGAATAATGTACGTCAGAATTATGAGAAACGATTGGAAGAAGTAGAGAAGCACGGTATTGAGGAATTGCAGAAAGCAATCACTAAATACGAAGCACTTCTTCATGAGAAAAAATTGCAATTAGAAGTAAATCAGGATGAAATGACGCAGCAGGCACGAGTACACGAAGAAATGATGACGCAAGTTGAAGATGATGCTGATAAAGAGATTTTGGAACTAAAAACAAATTATGAAACACTATTGCATAAACAAAAGGAGGCGAATATACGGCTGAAAGGGGAAGCTGGAACATTGCGTAACAGATATATGACTAGTTTGAAAGATGTTGAAGATTTGAAAAGACAGCTGCAACGAGTGCAGAGCGAATACGGTTATTTCCAAAAGACTATTCAGGAATTAGAAAAAGATAAAGAAGATCTGAAAAGCGAAATAAATGAAAGAGATATTACGATTCAAGATAGGGAACGTCAGATATATGAATTAAAACGTACAAATCAGGAACTGGAGAAGTTTAAATTCGTTTTGAACTACAAGATTACAGAGTTGAAAAATCAAATAGAACCGCGGGATCAAGAAATCAAAGAGCTCAAAGAGAAAATTCGAGATATGGAAACAGAACTTGTAAACTTGCATAAAACCACTGTTAGTTTAGAATTACAGCTACATGAACTGAGAGAGAAATTGAGAGCTGCAAGACGTGAACTTGAATATGAAATACATCGGAATAAAAGATGTCAACAACTCTTAAAAAGAATACGAGTAGATTTGCTTGATGCTTCGGGGCTTGTACAAGAACCACAGGCGTTAAAAGCTGCTGTGACAAAATTGTATCATAAATACAGTTCAAGCGATGAATTTCTGCGTAGCCGTAAAGCGGATTTAGACGCGCAATGCGAATTTATAAAACAGAGGGATCATTTAGAAAGAACGATAGCTTCTCTTAAAAGACAAGTTTTCCAGGATAAGACAGGCAACGGCAAAGATATAGATAAAACGGTAGAGGAAAATATTATTTTAATAACAGAATTAAATGCTTTGAGAGAAGAATTAAAAGACGCAAGAAAACATATACAGCATATGGAAAGTCTGTTAGGTTTAGCGGCGAAAGATATAAAGCCGTCAGAAGCAAAAAAAAGAATGGAAGAAGCGTGTTACGGGCATGAACAATTGCGAACTGAATACAGGTCTCAAATGCAAGAGTGTCAGAATATAATAATTGCTTTAAAAGATGATATGTATAAATTGATAAGCAAACTACCTTGCGAAGAACCAGAAACTAAAATTACTTTTTAGATATGCTTGTCACGCGTAAGTAGAAACTTTTTATATGATAAATATTTTTAATTGGTTGTGTAAAAATCTTTTAACAGTAAATTATGTACGATCCTTTTTTATTGTAAATTATTTATTTAAACAAATTTGAACAAAGAAATGTTATAATAATAGTAACCAACACAACTACCTTAAATTAGAATTATATTATTTAAAGAATAAATGGAATGATAGATTTTCTATTTTTTGGATATTGAGAAAATTCTTTTTTGTATGCTTTATGCTTTCCTAATGCCCATAGAGTCATTTGATATGCACCAGCAAAGGTAAAGAGAGCAGCTGAAAATAAATGATAATTATATATAATTATCATATAAATTATATATAATATATACATTACGTGTAATATTTTGTTGATGAAATAAAAAAAATATTTATACCTGGCAAACATGAAGTCATGATAGTGAATCCAATCCAACTGCCAATTTCATAAGTATAATTTGGGCATGATACAAGATTGAACAATACAGTAAAAGGATTACCAGTGGGTACTGGTATTTTTCTCACTGTACTTCCTGCTGGTCTCAAATTTCTTAGAGCTATATGAATACTCAAATTTCCCAATTCACAAAGTGCAAATGCTACTAGCCCACTAAGGAACTGTAACTGACTTGGAGCTGTATACAAAGGGTGATTTACATGATATGCTACATACATAGCAAACAGCCAGTAGTAAGAGCAGTTTTTAAAAAGATTCTGCAGTGGCATAGTTGCATGACTGAATCGATGCACAAACAATGTCTCTAGAAGTCTTTTAGCATAGTGTATAGTCCAACAAAGAGCTGCCACACTGAAATTAAAGAATTAAGAATTTGATATATGTCTGATTTTATTTAACTATTCTTTTATATTAATATTTAATTAGCATTAAAAGCATTATAATTTTTAGCAATTCAAAATGGCAGTGATAACTTAATGAATTATTTATTAGTATGTCATATGATCTCTAAAGAATATATAAAGGAGTAAAATATCAGGTAAAAATTTCTAATAAATATAGTTTAAATCTATTAATAATTTTAAAGGTATGCAATTTCTTTTACAGGTTTTTTTTTGAAATTACAAATTTATATATTAATTATATAATTCTTTGTTGAATTTATGTAAATATATTAAGAATTTGTTAAATAAACTCACTGGACTATGTTATCAATTTTAGATGCATCTGTATCACCATAAAATATCCAGGGACGCTGATATATCCACAAATAAAGAAATAATGGACCAGCATATTCTACTAAAAATACACCTTTCCAACTAATTTGTGGTCCAAGATCTTTCAAATATAATTTTCCTCCATTAGAAATAGACAAATTTTTCAAGGTATCTGAATCAGATAAAGCTTTCCCTTTGGCATCTAATCTTAAACTTTGCCTGTGAACATGCGGTGCTTTTTTTAATTTGATCAATTCTTCTTTGATTTGTCGTATGGTTGTATTAGGTTCCACCTAAAGAATATAAAGTATATAATACGTCATACATAGAAAAATTTCTCATTAGAAATTTAAACTTGTGTATATCATTATAAATCTATACATATTACATGAGACAAGAATTACTGAATAAATTTTGTGTTGGTAAAGCATAAATTTTAAAAATTTTCTATTAAGATGAATGACCTGTAACCATGTATTTATTTTATTTTTATTTATTTATTTACTTACGGTTACATTTGCTATGAATTTTGATGATTTCGCGGTCAATATTTGAATCTAAAAAAACAAGAAAAATACATTGAATTATATATTTTTTTGATTATTGGTTATTGCTTTTAATATATACATTACATGAATAAATATGTACCTCCATTTTTGTCAATGCACAATTTTATTAACTGATCGAGATTTTGTAACTTCACTCTCTAAAGAACCGACTCACTACTGCTACTCTCCTCACACTACAAACTACTATGCTAATGGTCAGAGAAAACAGCGTAATGTAGCGCTGATGTCGTTTAATTGTACAAAGTTCAATTTTTTCTGCTGACCAATGATTCTCATTCATATTTTTATTTTTAATAAGTTGAAAATGAAAATCAATCGTCGTTAAATAGCTACTTGTGTATTTTTTATTAAAAATATTTCTCACAATATATTTAACTTAAGTGATAAAAATTACTTTTATGAATATTTCGATGTTTTTTAAATTGATAACGCAGACTAATATAATTTCCACAAAAAACATTTCAAAGATAATTAACGTTAGTATCGGATAAAGTAATTAATGCTATTTTTATCACTGGGATAATATATGTATAAAAGATTTTATGAGAAGAATGTGCATAACTTTCAACATTAACGAAGTATCATTTCATATTATATAAATATTCATAAATATGACGCAAATGACATATATGCATGTTATAACGAAACCGATTGTGATTTTACATGTGAGATTTATTAATTTTTTATTTATTAGCTTGAAAATTTTCATCAATAAAATATTTAGAAGAGTTTGTGATTTTTATTCATAAATGTCACTATTATTTCTTTTGCAACATAGATTTTTACTATTATTTCAAAATTGTTTGAGTGAACGTTTCGATATATCTGAATAGAATTTGTAAATTTTTATACATGTATTTCGTAGGTCCAGTGAAGTATTGTAAGAAAGCTGAAACTTTAATTTGGAAGATGGAATGAAAAAAAATTGACAAATTAAACTTTATACATAATTAATATTTTGGGCAAATGAAAATTTGATTTAAGATATGGAAACATTAGCATCGTACAGTAATGGAATGCTGGAACTAAATTAACGATGTAATTCATCATAGAGATACTAATACTGCCATCTTTTGAACAGTTTTCCTTTTTTCCTTTTTTTTTTTCTTTAAGTTTAGCTGAAAAAAAGAAAGTGGTGTCATCCAGTGCACATAAATAAAATTATAGAAATGAATCGACCCAATAGATGGCAGTAGGTAATTCTGTCAAGACATAAGTAGGTAATGTAGATATTCTGTTTACCAATCCAATTACTATTTTATCGACTATTTCAATTATTTAGTTTTTTTAAAATCCCAAATTATTTTATAATATTATATCATTGACTAAAGACAGAATCATTGTCAACATGCTATATATCCATATATATTACAAACATATAGTTTTTATACGAGCATTTTGTATCATATAAAATATATAAAAGATTTCAATTTCAAAGATAATGATCGATCTGGTCACGAAAAAATTGTTCAGTGATGGAGAAACTTCTCCTTGGTGAGATGTTTGAATTTTTACAATTTTCGAAAAGAAAATTTTTTTTTTACACTTGCTGCATGATGTAAAAATAAATATCTTTGAACGAAACAAACTCAGGATTGTTAAAGTGGGGACTTCCAGTGAATGTTTCAATCTATTGAACGGAGAAATCTTTTTACATGTATTTTGAGAATCAAATGAGACACTTAAGAAGACAGCTGAGTGTCTAATTTTGAAGACAGGATTAATTCACTTGATTAGACTCTTTTTTTTCAAATGAAAATTTGATCTAAAACACTGATGCCGCGTAGCGGCGACATTGGGGAACTAAATTAACGATGTACATTTTTCTTCGGTTTGAAACTAAAAAAAAAATGATGCTACCCAGTAGATGGCAGTATCTCCGTATCTGAAATTACATCATTAATTTAGTTCTATCATTTCACCGCGGCGCTGGTGTTTCGACGTCCATGAATCGATCAAATTTTCATTTGTGGCGAAAGCTAATTAAGAGGATTAATTCGTGAACTTTTTTAATTAGATCTTCGAAATTAGATCCCTTAGATTTCTTCCAATCCTCCGTTTAACCTACAAAAATGTACAGATCTATGTATGTCTATAAAAATGTACAGATTCTATTCGATAGATCGAAACACACTCGTGAACAATATTTAATTTCTAGTAAATTACTCTCGAGATTGTTCGTGAACATTAGTTCGAAATATGTACGATTAAACTTTATTTTATGTAACTTTGAATATGATTTTTTATTTAATCACTCATTGCACATATCATTCGTGAATTTCGTTAAAACACTGCAAAATGAATTAAAACAATTTTAATAACGACATATATAATATTAGGGGGAGGACGATCATTCATATGAGTGAAGATAACAGATAGTTTGTCGAAAGCAATTTATTGTTACAGAAGTAGATTACGTTCATGTGTAACCACATGCTTAAAATTATAGAGGAGATATTGGTGTTTCGGGACATTTCAATGCAAAAGGCGATAAAATTAAAACCTTTAAATTACACCAGTGGCTTTCCTGTACTGACCAAAGTGTTCTAGATACTGCTGTATTGTATCCAACGGTTGATAAATATCGTTCATTCGGTTCTGTAAGAAGATAAATGATTTTTGTTTATTTCGTTTTCATTAGAAAATACTGACATATTTTTCTGAAAAAAATGTGTTATTCATTATATTACATTATTTTATATTAATTATAATTGTAATATTTACAATTGTATTCAATTCATTTTTCTGACAAAATGTGTTATTTATTATATTACATTATTTTATATTAATTATATTAATTTTATATTAATTATATTAGTTTTATATTAATTATACTAGTTTCATATTAATTATATTAATTTTATTAGTTTTATATTAATTACAATTGTAATATTTACAATTGTATTCAATTCATTTTTCTGACAAAATGTGTTATTTATTATATTACATTATTTTATATTAATTATATTAATTTTATATTAATTATACTAGTTTCATATTAATTATACTAGTTTCATATTAATTATATTAATTTTATTAGTTTTATATTAATTACAATTGTAATATTTACAATTGTNNNCAATTCATTTTTCTGACAAAATGTGTTATTTATTATATTACATTATTTTATATTAATTATATTAATTTTATATTAATTATATTAGTTTCATATTAATTATATTAATTTTATATTAATTATATTAGTTTTATATTAATTATATTAATTTTATATTAATTATATTAGTTTTATATTAATTATATTAATTTTATATTAATTATATTAGCTTTATATTAATTATATTAATTTTATATTAATATTCATTATATTTATTATATTATATTACCTGCAAATACTGTGGCGCTTGATTGGACACGGTGGATCCGAGGAACCCCTGCAAAAACTCGCGCATCAGTTCCCATGCACTTCCGGGAACGACACACGGTCTATACTCCACCTGTAAAGGATGCAAAATAATTACTTTAATATCTATTTATCGCCAAACAAAAAAAAAAAAAAAAAAAAAATACACGGGAACAAAAACAAGAAGGTGTGCATTACAAAATAAAAGGAAAACTACTATTTCATTTCTCTTTCTACGAAAATGATCTCGATCGAAGCACGGTCAAAGTAACGAGGACGAAGAAAATTTCTGTAAAAATAAAAGAGAAACAAAATAGAAGTCGAAACGAAGAATAACAGCTCCAGACGAGAATTAAGTTCCTCGTCCCGACGACAAGGTATCTCCGGTTGAAAGCGCGAGTGCTCGAGGGAACGTCTGCTGGTTAGCAGCACGCGTCAACCACCGACACGCTTTTCTCGTTCCGTGAACTTGTTTAACAAGTAATTCTCCGGCCGAAAACGCCTTGCGTCTCGTTATGATTAACAGGCTAATTTAATTTGACTGCGAATGATTCGAAAGTATAATGATGAATACGAAATCGTCGGGTTAGAAAGTGAAATATTACGTCTTTCGTCGTGACGAAATCTTAGGATACGATTACGTTTAGTGAAATATTACGTCCTTTTATATTGTATTTAAATATTACGATTTTTATATATTTTATAAAATATATTTATTTTTACATGTATTTTACATTTAAATATTACTATTTTCATATATTTTATAGAATATATTTATTTTTATACATTTTACATTTAAATATTACAATTTTTTAGTAAAATATTACGACTTTTATAAAATATATTTATTTTTATATATTTCATATTTAAATATTACGATTTTTTAGTGAAATATCACGTCTTTTTACATACATTTTATATTTAAATATTACGATTTTTTTATATTTTATAAAATGTACTTATTTTTATACATTTAATATTTAAATATTACAATTTTTTAGTGAAACATTACGATTTTTATATACTTTATAAAATACATTTATTTTTATATATTTAAATATTACAATTCTTCTTCAAATGAAATATCATTTATTTATTTATTACAAATTTACTTATTGTAAATTTATACATTACAAATTTACAAATTTATAAATTCACGTTTTTATAAACGATCGCGGGATCATCTTTTTACGCAGAAACAAGCATCTCGCGCGGCGATTTTTCTTCCGTCGCAGTGAACTCGAAACAAGGAAGAAACAAGGAAGATGGCGAAGAAGCGAGTTAGTAAGGTTCCACGGCGCAGTATTTCCTCCAGTGAAATTAATGGGAGAGCCGGGGGATTTATCGTAACGTATTCGATGTCGCGGTGGAATACAAACAGCGTTGTTACCGATACGAATAGCTGTTGGATCGGTCCGAGGGCGCCATCGCCGTTAGTCCAAGTTGTAAAACGGAAGTTCCACCATTCTACAAAGTATCGCGAGAGAACAGTTGAATTTTAATATGGGGTTGTTAAAACGAAATCAGCTTTCATTAAAGAAAATGCTTTTTAAACGCTGGGTAGGAGTATTCCTTCCTTCACAAAGAGAATTAATATCGCGAGATGTTTTCGCCGACGACCGATCTATTTCACACGTTTGTAGCGAAAATTTCACAGAGCCAAGGTCTGTGGTACGTGTTACGTGAGCGAAATTCTCCCGTGCAGGAACGAAACGTTCGTTCAGAAATAAATCGAGCCGAATCGGAAATCGCGTTTCGCGGACATTTAATTTTTATCGAAACCTAACGTAGTTTAATTGTTTAATAAATACTCGATCCTCGTCGTGTCTTGACTCTTGGCGATCCAATTCTCTACGAATCGTTCCTCCACGACGTGTCTATTTATAAAAATCGAGATGCAAAACAGAAATTTAATTTTTATCGAAACCTAACGTAGCTTAGTTGTTTAATAAATACTCGATCCTCGTCGTGTCTTGACTCTTGGCAATCCAATTCTCTACGAATCGTTCCTCCACGACGTGTCTATTTATAAAAATCGAGATGCAGAACAGAAATTTAATTTTTATCGAAACCTAACACAGCTTAGTTGTTTAATAAATACTCGATCTTCGTCGTGTCTTGACTCTTGGCGATCCAATTCTCTACGAATCGCTCCTCTACATGTCTATTTACAAAAATCGAGATGCATCGAACAGAAATGGTACCGATGAAATTTCCAAACGCGAGACATATTATTCGGTGCAGAAAGGTCTCCACGAGCTTACGTGAGCGACTGCACGATATTTCAACGTTGTCGCCCGACACGACACGTTGCAGTGGTAGCCTTCGCGAACGCAAATCGAATTCTTCCGGCGTTTCTACGCTACAGTTCGCGCGGCGCTTTCACGCCCGTGCGGGACTTAATTGAAGTTCGAATCGAAAAGTTGGATCGAAATTGGAAAGGAAGCCGCCGGCGATATTCGTCAGAGAGAGAGAGAGAGAGAGAGAGAAAGAGAAAGAAGCTCACACGTGTATTGAATCTCACGGTGGACCGAGCTGTCAATCGATATTGCCCCGCGACCGTCACGTGATCGGCACACAAGCCTTCGGAAGTAGCGCAGCCCTACGCCCGCCAGTTTCCAAGTTTAATCGCGAGTTAATTAGTTGGCGCGAATCCTTCGGGATCCCTCCCGGCAACGATAGACGGCTGCTGGAGCCTGCTAACGAGTTTCGCGAATATCAGACATCTGCCGCGATTATTCATTCAACCGATTATACCGGGCAAAAGTTCGCCGTTCTGCTGTGAAAAATTACTCGAAACTCTTTCGCTGAAACAAAGAAAGCCCGCTTTCATCCCGCGTGGAGTTTTCGGGCGCGCCATTTTCCACGGGTTGGTTTATTCCTCATTCTTCTGGGAAACGGCCAGAGGAGTCATCAATCTCGGTTTCGGTTTTTATCGGTGCTTGGGATAAACGTCGTGGGCTTACCTCGACCAAAACGCCCTTGAAGTTCTGATTGATGGTCACGCTGCCGAGTTTCACGCAGAAATCGCCGATCTCGAAACGCGGCCCCTTGGATTCGATCTTCTGCATTTTGTTCGTGTAGACGCTCGACATCTTGTACATTAACAAATCGAACAGGCCGTCCGCTATCAGCGGGACAACCTTGTTCCCCGATTCGAGAATCGCGAACGCCGACGCTGGCTGCTCGGAGTTGTGCAGAACGTGAAGCGTTCGTTGAACACCTTGAACAAAAGACAGGTTGGATTTCGGATTAGCCTCGGGTTTTGGTGAAAGCTTTTTAAAAGGGAGTCTTTTTTTCTTTTTTTTTTTACTTCTTTGATATATTTATTTGTTTGATGGAAAAATTCATTAAGGAAGAAAAGGTATTTAAAAAAAAAAAAAAAAAAAAAGAAATGATAACGATAAAGTAAAATAACACGACAAATACAGTATATTTATTTATTTAATGGAAAAACGATTAAGGAAGGAAAAGTTACACAAGAAGATACGATAACGATAAGTTCAGTAAAATAATACGACGAGTACAAGATGAAATAGTAAAAATATGAAAGAAATTATGTCACATTTGCACCGTTGTGTGTATTTTATGTTCAATCTGGTTGGAGATCTTTTGTCAGCTACGTCAGAAACTCTGGATATTGAATTTTGCTCGTGTTTAATTTTTTCTCTTGGCAAATCCTGGACCTAAGGAAAATCTCTGACAACAAGACATCTAGGAGGGGCTTGTAATAAAGGAGTTGATTGCCGAATTGATCGAATACAATCAATTTCTGGATTAAACACCTCGCGTAGGAAAAGCAAATTAGAAATTGAGATCTTCCTAATTGTAGAGGTACAATTTATTACAAGATCTCTCTTTTGAAATTAACCCCTTGGCGCTGGCAACTGGTTCGCGGACTAATTCGTCGCTTTCTTTCACTTTTGAACTCGTTGGTACGATATCACTGGATAGAAATTACTAAGGAGTAATAAATTTATTGTTTGTTTTGCCCGGGTTATATTTAAGTATATTGAAATATATTTTTAAAGTATATTAATATATATTTAAGTATATTTAAATTAGCTTGAAACTGAGAAAATATTGCAATTTTGGAGCAAAAAGTACAATCCAGGCGAAACAAATAATAAATCTATTGCTTCTCAATAACATACCGATGAATTCAAAAAGAAGACGATTTATTTATATATACTGTGTTTGGTCACTCGTTATGGTCCGCAATCAGTTGTCAGCACAAGCGGTTAATCCTAACCTCTTGCACTCGAGAATATCTTGTTCCAGTGTTGCAATATTTTCCCAGTTTTAAGTATATTTAAGTGTAACTCAGGCAAAACAAATAATAAATTTGTTACTTCTCAGCAATTTTTATCCAGTGACATACCGATGAATTTAGAAAGAAAACGATTTATTTATATATACTGTGTTTGGTCACTCGTTATGGTCCGCAATCAGTTGTCAGCACAAGCAGTTAATCCTAACCTCTTACGCTCGAGAATATCTTGTTCCAAAATTACAATATTTTCCCAGTTTTTAAGTATATTTATGTGTAACTCAGGCAAAACAAGTAATAAATTTATTACTTCTCAGTAGTTTCTATCCAGTGACATCGATGAATTCAAAAAGAAGAATTATTGTACACGGTTTGGTCACTCGTTATGGTCCGCAATCAGTTGCCAGCACAAGCGGTTAATCCTAACCTCTTGCGCTCGAGAATATCTTGTTCCAAAATTGCAATATTTTCCCAGTTTTAAATATATTTAAGTGCAACTCAGGTAAAACAAGTAATAAATTTATTACTTCTCAGTAATTTCTATCCAGTGACATCGATGAATTCAAAAAGAAGAATTATTGTACACGGTTTGGTCACTCGTTATGGTCCGCAATCAGTTGCCAGCACAAGCGGTTAATCCTAACCTCTTGCGCTCGAGAATATCTTGTTCCAAAATTGCAATATTTTCCCAGTTTTAAATATATTTAAGTGCAACTCAGGTAAAACAAGTAATAAATTTATTACTTCTCAGTAATTTCTATCCAGTGACATCGATGAATTCAAAAAGAAGAATTATTGTACACGGTTTGGTCACTCGTTATGGTCCGCAATCAGTTGCCAGCACAAGCGGTTAATCCTAACCTCTTGCGCTCGAGAATATCTTGTTTCAAAATTGCAATATTTTCCCAGTTTTAAATATATTTAAGTGCAACTCAGGCAAAACAAATAATAAATTTGTTACTTCTCAGCAATTTTTATCCAGTGACATACCGATGAATTCAAAAAGAAGACGATTTATTTATATATACTGTGTTTGGTCACTCGTTATGGTCCGCAATCAGTTGTCAGCACAAGCAGTTAATTTTAAGCTCTATCTTAGCATCTCCACGCACGTCGCAAGGAGATGCTAAGATAGATCATGTGAGAAGAAAGCGAAACAGCGACGATGAATTGGGCCGACGATGATGTACATACATAAGTCCAGGCTCGCAGTATGCCTGTTTACACCGAGGCATGCACGTGTATACGTATAACCGCGATTCAGCAGCCAAACTTGGATGCAACTTGAAGTTCAGCATCCGAAGCTTAGGCAGTTCAACTTCGATCCGGGGCGTACGTTGTCAACTTGCACGATGAATCCTCCCGGACGCGAAAACTATCCGGGATTGGCGGCCACCGCGATCTCTATCCCCAGCCCCGTTTTCCCGATAAATTTCCAATCCCCCAGACGGCTAGTTAACGAGAACTAATAACCGCGGTTTAGTCGATTCGCCTATTTCCTCCGACTTCCTACTCCACCCCCTCCTTTTCCCTGCAACACCGGGGAAACAAACTCTCCTGTCTCCTTTTCCTCGGCGCTGCATCGTTTATTATAGTGATACCTCTCGCTCTGGCGAGATGTTTCCCATTTCAACGAATTCTTTCTTTGCAGATTGTCGTCAAAATTGAGCGGGTTCGAGAAACGACGAAATTAAAATATAAGTCGATTGTGTTGATTTAATTTTGGATAGATAAATTAATGTTATCTTAGATGTAGATAGATAAATTAATGTTATCTTAGACGCACTTTCGAATATAAATAAAACATCGAGATCGCTTATTGACGTCGTGTGTAGTTAAAGGGTTAAACGACACAGAATTTTCCTCTCGCAAATTAATTAAATTTTCGATGGATAAATTAATATTATCTCTGACATACGCACTTGCGAATATGAATAAAACATCAAGATTTATTGACGTCGTGTGTAGTGAAACCCGAATGGAAAATATTTCAAAAGAAACACAGAATTTTCTCTCGTAATTATCTTCCGACGAAACGTTTCAATTTTTAAACATCTCGCGACGAATTGTCAATTTGTCCTGATCTATGCCGGTTATTATTAAGTCGATCGATCTGTCACGCCTCGTGCAAAATCAAAGCCGCATTTTGTAGCAATCGTACAATACGGGGAGGAAGAAACGTTACAGGGAAGAGAAACGAATCACCGATCTCATCATTATCGCGTTTCAATTAGTTGGAATGTAAACAATTATTATCGGCGATCTCGCGCGATACGAGCTGATTAAAGCCGATCAATTGAAACCGACAGAGGATGATAATGTAGTTGCAGCTCGACGCGGCGAATAATAAAATCGGGGCAGGATCGCGGATTGAAATGGAAATCTGACAGATTTCCGGTGCTGCATCTCGTTATCTGTAATGAGATTGTTTCACCGTTTTCACTCGATTGAAATTAACGCGACGGGATATTCTGTCGCGTGCGGTGATACCACTCTCGCGTACGCGTTTACGTTTCTGCAACTGTGACTCCAGAACCACGCAGAATGTCACGCTACTTTTATCAACTGTTTCGTAATTTTTCGTCTCTCCATTGTGCAACGTAAAAAAAAAAAAAAAAAAAAAAAAAAAATTAAACAAAGCAAATTCCCTTTACGCTCGCTGAATCCTGCGCCCGCGTAGCATCATCCAACAGACCGGTGACGTTCTTTACAACTGCTGGGTAGCTGCTCGGTACGTGTCTCTGTTTTAAGCGTGGAAATTAAGGTATTACCGTGCTTTTCATAAAGTCGGAAACACTGTGCGTTCAACATTTTCAAGAATTGTACATTCTGCGATACAATTCTCACAGAGTCTCGTGAAATACTTATTTTAGAATATTTTAGAAACTAGTTAACTAACTAAAGAGACTCGGTAGCCTCTGGCTATCGTCCAAGTACTTAACGAAACGAAATTTCGACTCGTGCATTCTTCTATTTCTCTCCGTCGACAAAAGAAATTGAAAATATTTATGATGAAATTTACACGCGTTCAAAAGTCCGGCGCAGCTATCGTTGTTTTTTTTTTCTTCTTCTTCTTAGAAATCAGATTCTTCTTGTACAATTGAAAATTAAGGAAACTTGCTTCGGACCTCAAAGGGCTCAATTGAACAAAATACAATAAAATACAATAAATACTCAAGAAGAATTTTTGAATTTTGCCGCGCGCGAAATTTTTAAACAAAATCCCCTGCCACGGTATTTCAGTTTCATCAGGTAACTGGTTGTCTCGTTTCTCGCAGTCAACGTTATACAATCTCTCTCCGCGGAATCTCGACACGACAGTGTAGAAGGTGAAACGAAAAAATTCGATTCGGCAGTAATTCCACGCGTGATGTATCGAGTCTCGCGCGCATCAAGAGATTTAATACCAGGCCAGACGGAAACGCACGACGTGCGAACTCCACTGAATATTCATAATTCATGCAAACGCAACCCCCTCGCCTGCCTCGTCCGCCATAATGGCAGGCCGTTTGCCGCGTGCAAACGCATGAATTATTTATGGGGTAAATTATAACGCGCCCTCCGCGTCATTTTGTCAAATGACAAAATTCTTAATTGCGGATCGCCAGATCCGCGGACAGGTTTATGCGCTTTAATTCTACACCGCTTTGCCGCCCTTTATTTATTGCCAACGAATTCTACTTAATATCGTAAACGACGTCGTTTTTACCCTATCTTCTTCTCCCTCAAAAGAGCGCCGACAGCAAGATACGAATTAATTAAGAATGTTGTTCGCAAAAGTATCACGGACAGGTTGATGAAATTTCAAAGTATTTCGTTGCTAAAGGAATTGCCTGTGAACGCGTAGAATTTGGCACGAGTGAAATGTTTCTTCGAAGGGAGAATCTCGCGGATTGAAATCAAAAATTCGGCTCGAGCGTTTAATTAAAAATCCAGTTTTTTGTATTCGTTACTGCCATCCGTCGAATGGGGTCGGTATTTGCTACGAGTATCGACAACTTTTTTAATATTGATGAGCAAATTAAAAAGGGCAGAGAACTTTTTATTTTCATACTCTGCAAGTTCCAACCTGTCTGATACCTTTCAGAATATTTAAAGTTCAAAGAGCCTGTTTTACCTTTTATAACCTTTTGCTACGCACGTCGAGAAGTTTTTTTGTTCCGAAATTGTAATATTTTCTCAGTTCTGAGTATACTTAAATAGGCAAAACAAATGATAAATTTATTACTTCTCAATAACTTCTAATCCAGCGGTATGTCATACCGACGAATTCATTGTATATACGGGTTCGGTCACTCGTTATGGTCCGCAATCCAAGTTGCCAGCGGACGCCGATGCCTGGTGTTGATTATTCGAAAAGATTTTATAACAGCTAACAATTAGCTACCACTAATTAACTAATGCCAATGTAACAACAATTATTACTAATATAACAACGACACACGATCGAACAGACGTAACGTAGATGCGGCCAAGTACGTATTCTTGGCAACGACGTGCGTGCAACAGACAAAGATTCGTCAAAAGATCAAGGGGAACAAAGGCGTGCACGCGTGGCGTGCGAGAGCTGCGACCTACTTCCGCTTGGTAATTTCGCGAAAACAATGGGAAATGCGCGGCTGGCAATTCGGATTAACGAGCAGGCTGATTAGAAGCGTCCTTTCCGCTGGCCCGCCGGCTTTCTGCGGGGTAATTCGCACCAGCGAGCGTGTACGGCCCTGTGACGCGCCGCATGCCGCATTCCGCATCGTCTGCATCGCACGTATGCATCGCGACACGGATGTACGGACGCCGCAGGAGCCGCAAATGTGGCCCGCCACCCCCTGCATCCGCAAGGATTACCGAGCAATAACATCTTATCAGTGTAATGACCCCGAAATAAATATCCGTTCGGCCACGTCGCAGCCCAGCTGGCCCCTCGCTCGACCAATCTCTACGATCTGGTTAACATTTGCATTTGGTGCATTTATTAATATATAATTAGGTGACTTCTTTTAAGTATTTTCTAAAGAATATTTCTTTTATGAAGTTCTTCAAGTTGAAGAGTTCTGGAACAATGGCCCTTTTTTCCTTCTATTGTATTTTTCTGCAGGCTCGACTTTTATAGGTGTAGCAATAATCTAGTTAACATTTGCTGATATATTTATTAATACAGTCAGGTGACTTCTTTTAAGTATTTTCTGACCGAGTATAATAAAGAATATTTTTTTTATAAAATTTTCCAGTTGAAGAGTTTTGGAGGAACAATGGCCATTTTTTCTTCTATTGCATCTTTCTGCAGACTTGACTTTTATAGGTGTAGCAATAATCTAGTTAACATTTGCTGATACATTTATTAGTACATTTAGGTGACTTCTTTTAAGTATTTTCTGACAAGTATAATAAAAAATATTTTTTTTATAAATTTTCCAGTTGAAGAGTTTTGGAGGAACAATGGCCCTTTTTTCTTCTATTTTCTGCAGGCTTGACTTTTATAGGTGTAGCAATAGTCTAATTAACATTTGCTGATATATTTATAATACATTTAGATGACTTCTTTTAAGTATTTTCTGACGAGTACAATGAAGAATATTTTTTTTATGAAGTTCTTCAAATTGAAGAGTTTTGGAGCAACAATGGTCCTTTTTCCTTCTATTATATTTACCTGCAGGCTTGACTTTTATAGGTATAGCAATAACCTAGTTAACATTTACTGATACATTTATTAGTATATTTAGGTGACTTCTTTTAAATATTTTCTGACTGAGTATTTTTTTTTATAAAGTTTTCAATTGAAGGATTCCGAAGGGACAGTGATCCTTTTTCCTTTTATTGCATCTCGGGATCTGGAGAAGAACGGTTTCCGAAGAAATGAAAAGAAGAATTTAGAATTTGAAATTCAATCACGCAAGATGCTAAACTACATGTCCAGTGGTTATTCGTATGCATCGCGCAAGTGCAATAAGGCTTATGAAGTCTTTCTTTCTCTCTACAGAATTTCCATTAAAACGTATTCCTGTACTGTTTCGCTTGAAACAACCACGTGGTGAGAAACGTTCAAAATCTTTTCGATAAAAAGAGTGTCCTGCGAAAATGTACGTCAGAATATAAATTTACGTAATTGTAGGAAAATTTATTTATAAATTTAGACTGAAGTTGATATGAAGTTGATATGTATTAATGAATGAAGTTGAAAAATTTTCTTATAATTTTTCAACGAACACCTGTACGTGTTTAAAATATCACGTTATGTACATTATATCTTTATATCGAGTCTGCAGAATCGATTTTTTATTATTACGCCATTCTTTACCCAGACCAAAATTAATATACATTTTATTGTCACTTTATTCTTCATTAACAATACATATATCACCGTTTTATTAATGAAATAAACACAATTTGCTAGAACCCTTCGATCGTATTACCCAAGCGTGTAATTACAATATTCACAATATTTATAATTATTATAATACATATAATATATATAATATAATATTATAATATATATAACATAATTCAAGTAATTGAAAAAACCAAACTTTAATAACCTAATAGCTACGGTTCTCTCCCCATCTAGCTTTCGACACTTGACAAATTGTCAAAAGTGAAAAATAAAAAATCGCGTGGTATAAAAAAACAGACAGAA